GACATGGAATACAATATATCATTAAGGGACTCTGCCCCCCTTTAAAAACAGCTAATTTGAGATATAAAATGTAAGAAGTGGAAAGATATCACCACGATATGAGCAAGGCTATTAAAGCCATGGTTTGGTTAACTCACAACAGCTATAAAAGAATGCTGCGGAGATCGTGCAACGCTTCTCCACGGATTTGTACTTACTATGGACCCCTGAAGAGTCATAGCAATTTGACATGGAACTAGACTATCAGATGTGAAAGTCACTGCGGCTTCAGGAAGCAACTTCAAGTTAGTTGTTTGGTAAAGTAGGTACAACGATCCGTTGCGACTCATGGCTCAAGGAAAGGAAACCATCCTGCACTATGACTTTTAGAGCATATTCCCAACAACTATAAATACAAGAGGGGTATCTACCCCTTTTTAAAAGAAAAGAGAGTGAACATGACTTAGCTATCGACTTTAAGATTGGTCGACACATTTAAGCATGGAGAGTAAACAAAGTCATTTAAATGTAAAAGGTGTAGCATCATGCTTCATTACTAATACGTGATGATGCAAGTAATTGGTAAATAAATCATGCATCCGAGAAAGGCTTTTCGTGCAAGAAGTTTGCATGCAAAAGTTCGTGGACACGGAAGACGCTTAAGAAACACATACGTCTAATGTGTTATAATAGGAATGTAAGAACAATTAGTCCATGCTAACGAACTATCATGACATTCATATTGGAATGCAGATTTTCATATATTTAGGCAAAATCGATATAAGAAAATCGTATCACTTATCTGTTGGCACTCCTCCAGGGGTATCCGCAAGTTAAAGTGGCAATCCCATTTATCGAGAAGCTCCTCATTGTTTTTGACGGAGCTCGTTTTTGACATGTACTGTGTATTAGTCCTTTATTTGTTCAAGGCTACTGTGGCCTGATTACACTCTTGTATCATAGAGGGCCCTGCATAACTATTCTCAAGATTATACATTAACATTTTTTCGAGAAAATGGAAGCAATCAGAATAATGTGCTATGATCAAGATCTAGATCGTAAATAGTAATTAGATTCTACTCTAGAAAGTATAGGTGTCATGACTCTATAATTTTATCTATAAGAATAGATGCATGTGAGAGTTAGATAATGGCTGATCATAAATTTAATGATACAAAAACTAGCAAATTCACAATTGCATGCATGGAGAATAGGTTAACGATTAACTTAGTGAAACTTGGTTTACGATTTATGAGTCCATCTCAGCCTCGATGAATCGACTGAGTGGATCAGGGGATGGCACAAAAATATGCATGTGCAATATTTTCAAACATTTATAGTTTATTCGAAAGGCTCTAGTATCTGGTGAGCATGTAATTGACAAGTAGCGTTGCATGTATAAGTCATATGGCATATGAAAGAACGTTGTCATGCAAGTTGCATATAGTTCTCATGAATACATCGAAGGATATATCATTGCGAGAATTTTTAGATAAAATGCTCAATGTATGAGGCTTGGGATGGAAGTGAAATTTCCCATAGTTAAGAGTCGGAACAAACTTAACATTTATCTGAGTTGTTCGAGCAGATCATTGCCTCTTGGGATGAGTGGCTTCGTAGTTCGAGAAGGATGCTACTCGAATTGTAAGACCAGCAAAACCAAGTAGTACAATTCTCTTTTCAAATCAGTCGAAGAGATTGTCTCAACTCTTGTCATAGGGCCGATCTATGTGATCGCGACTGTATGAGCACTCGATCCCTCGAACAATCGAGCTATGCTTGCATAGATGTTCACTTTGGACAAAATGTTAGTTGTTCAAATGACAAGTGTAAACCCGTGATGAGCATACAAGATTTGTGTATGGCTTTAAAATCAAGTAAGTAAGCAGGCGAATGTCACATTCTGATATAAGAATAGGGCAAGTAGTACCCCAAAATTTGTGAGCCGTGCATGCAATTGAATTTACAATGCTATTGAAATACTTTTCAAGAACCTTCATGTTTGCTATGATGGCAAAAAGGTATTGATTCATATATGTAAGAAAACCGTATTAGGTAACATACAAGCGACATGCTACTACTATGATTATGCAGCAACAATAGGCTCATGGGGGCATAATATGTGTATTTATGCATAACGATGCTTTGAGACTTAAATTTTTCATCCTCAAACTGAATAAGTTCGGAACGTAATGATGCATAATATAATCTTATTTGTAATAGAAGGCTACAATAACTTATCTGTCACTAAAGCCTTTGCCTCGTACAATTATGTAGAAATGGGTGTTTCAGCTAGTGCTGCCGGAAACAAACGAGTGGCCTTGTACTCCAATTTCGAGGAAGTTGTGCGCCTCTTCGAGAAGTTGTGACTTTTGAGACATCAGTTCGCCCCTTGCTATAAGATTAGGATTAGTTAAAGAGAATTTTGTTGAAGCATGTCATTTGACGGTCCATGGGCCGTTTGGAGGTTTCGTAGTCCTTGCTGGCTGATTTGCTTCTCGGTTGATCGAATTCGCCTCCATTTCCTTTGTAAAGTAGGGCATAAATTCCTTCATCGTGTATTTTGTCGATTGAAGAATCTTGACAACAAGGTCGACGACGGACAAAGAAACGAACCGTTTTCTCCGTTCACAAAAGAAGACGTTTCTCGAGAATACACCAAAACCATAAAGGCTCTCCCACAAAGAAAAGAGAATGAATTAATGGTCACAACTTATAATATGCACGGTATGCACGTTAATTGTCAATTATTCAATTTCAAGTCATGCATATAATGCTATTAGGTGCCGTAATCAACATCATGCACAGACATTGGTCAGTAGTAATACGGATCTTGTTGATGGATACAATTGATTGCTTTATCGAAAAACAATTATAGTGGAATATTTGAGACCCAAGGTTACCTCCAAATAATTGGGACTTTTGGGTGACTCTTCTCGACCATATGATTAATTCCTAAAGTTAAGCTCCTTTTTTAGGGGGAAACTATAGGGCATACGTCATTCATGATTAAAACGAACCTGATCATGGCTATGTCATGAATCTAGGAACAACAACTTAGGCTGATCAAATACTAATAAAGTATTGACAAATTTGGTTTCAAGTTCAGAAACCTATGAGGTCATATAATGAAAAGGCTACGAGATCATTGAAAGCCCGAAGTTGGTGAAAGTTAATTTAAGGAATGCAATAGATTATAAGTATTGATCTAGTTAATAAACCTTAATTGTTAACTCAAAAATAGTAGTTGAACTTATCATGGCAACATCCGAATACTTTGGTTTTCAAGACTGACCCGATTGTCATGGTTCTGTCGTGAACATTGTCTTACCATATTGATAATTAACTAAGTATTCTTGTATAGTGTGTACCGCCGTCGAAGAAGATTAGGAGGAGAGGTTCGACTCATCCTTCTTTTTGAATCAAGGAAAACCCTTCTCGGGTTCTACTGGGCGTGTCACTTGACGAAGCATGCATCTGTACTGATGTCTCCAGTTGATTGAACCGGCAGCCATGGCGGTATCTAAACCCTAAAATCTATAAAATAGGGTTTCTGAGTCTGAATTCATACGGCCTACGAATAGGCCGACTTAAGTTCGGCAAGCGGTTCAACCGGCCACTAGAAGTTTCTAAGGCAGTTATCAATTGCTTTCCTATTAAGAAAGGGTTTCACAAACAGGTAATCCTAGTTCTATAAATAGGGATTAACTCCTCACATCAAAGGTACGCTCTACGCACCACAATCCATACTCCCATTACAATTACTCTTACTGACTTAAGTATCGGAGTGTGTTTACCCTCGGAAGACTCCGAATCCCTATTTTGCAGGTTTTAGGGTTTCGATACCGCCATAGCCGCTGGTTCAATCAACTGGAGACGTCGTTGCAGACTCATGCTTCGTCATTTTTGTTTTCGTTTTTTTTTCTTAAAAAATCGCAATAAAATTCATTTCATGCGAGTAAAGGTTTGAATATTAAAATCACCCTGCTTCTTAGACGTCCTGACTCCTGAGTTCAATTCTACTCGAACATGCAGTTAGAGTGGACACTCTTTGGCTCTGAGCATCTAGCTATACAGCAACTGATGTCGTAAAATTTTGTTTGACTAGCATTAATCAAAGGTCATGTTTGAAAAAAAATACGACTGATGAAGAAGCTGTTAAATTTTGTACTGAAAAGCTCATCAGTTTCTTTGGCAAAATGCAAAGGAAAAAAATTTTAAAAACATTTCGGGCCACTTATTAAAGAAATAAAATGAGCTAATGTTGTTTTTGGTACAAGCGAAGTAACGAGTTCACATAAATTGAACTAGTAAACTTGACGGTGTAGCAGAATAATACAAGCGAAGTAAAGAGTTCACAGAACAATAATATACTAAAGCAGAATGATACATACACAGAGCTGTCGCTAAGGGTACCATCCGTGACAACTCCTAAGTGGTTATCAGATTCTCAAAGCTTATATTGGCCAAAATCAATTACAGAAGGCGGAACTTTGTTGGGTCTACAAGGCATAAAATTGCACGAGCAACGAAAAGACTTAGCTTGAAATAGACAGTTACAAGGCTTTTAAACTACTGAACCAAGAAGACTACAACATAGAACAGCATTCTTGCAGAATCAAGAGAGCATAACAATACAAATTGAGTAGATGAGATGCGACACATGTTCAGAGAAGCAATGAAGCAGCTGACGCATTGGCAAATCTCACTCTAAGACATAGTTGAGGAAACGTCTTTCAGATGAAAACCAAAATCCATCCTCTGGAAACAAAAATATCGGGGACTGATGCATCATCAGTTTCTCAAATGCCCCTTATAAATAATCCATGGAGAAAAAGGCCAAAAACAATATTACCAGAGACATTGTGCATCATGCCACACACAACAAAGCAAACTTCTACTTGCATTTTGAGGTTGTATGAGCTCATCTATGCAACCATGCAACTGATTTGTGTTCTGTGCTGTCTCCACATATGCTCCCCAGTTAATTGTAATGGAAAGCCAAAGTATCATCCACTAAACTATGACTGATGATAGTGATGCAACTTATACAACAGTACTTTTCCACCGGCATTTCCCATCGCCATAAAACCTCCGTGAGGGCTGAAGTCTAGGCATCGAGGATAGTGCAAGCTTTTATTTGAAGGAGGCCAGTTTGAGAAAACAGTAAATGTAGGAAGATGGATCAATTTTAAACTGTTCTTTTTCATGCTTGAACCAATAGCCAAAATCTTAGCATCATGGTTGAATTTTATAAAATCAACCTTTGTAGTCAAGTTCTCGATAACCTTGGCTGGTTTTCTCTTCCCCCCTAAAAAGTCATTGCCGTTGTAGACGTTAACAATCCCACTGTCTGAACCAGCTGCAAAAAGATTTCCAATAGGGGATGTACAAAGAGACGTTCCAGTAATGCATCCTTCATCAACACCTTTGTGAAAGCAAGTTCTCGTTCTCAAATCCCAGTGGTAAATCTGGCCATCTCCTCCGGAACTCAACAGTTGATTACCATCACTGGTAAAGGCTATTGACCGAACTGTTCCATTCATTTTAAGTGTCCCAATTAATTCTCTTGTTTTGGACGAAACTAACAAAATGTAACCTTCATTACCAAGAAAAGCTATTGACTTAGAATCAGGAGAAACCTCAAATGCTTCCAAGCTCTTCTCCTCTCTACCAGTTAGCGGACCTATTTTATCAACCTTTGCTTTCACTAAGTCAACGCTATAGAAGAACTTTCTTCGCCCTGCTGCAATAACAGAAGACCCATCAGGTAAGAAAGATGCCTTTCGGATCGGACAATCTTCGAGGAAGATACTTTCAATCTTAGTATTCCTTTTTCCATCAATTTGAAAAAATCTCAGCCTTCTGTCCAAACCAGCAGCAAGGAGTAGCTGGGCATTCCTGTGGAACTGAACTGAGTTTATTGGACCACTAGAAGGCTCTTCCAAGTTGGCATCAACCAGTCTGGAATACTCAAGAATTCCAGGTAACAATTTTGAGCCATCCTTGACAACTACATCCTCAGCGGTTCGAAGTATGTCACTCACAGCTGCAGCAGTGGCATTGCTATCCTCAACATCTGAGTCTTCACTGTCAGAGCCAGAGTTTATCCCTCGAGAATCGAGATTTGCCCATTCAGTACCTGGATTTAACTTGGCATGCTGCGCCCTCAGTCTTGATTCATAAGCAGAACCAGATATTACACTCTCATCTTCTTCTTTCCGGAGCTTCCTCAATCTGTTCACTTTAGCTATGTTCACAGTAACTTTCTCCTCTTCATCATCTACCCATACAGGTTTCCTTTGCACAGTTTCCTTTTCATCACTACTCTCGTCAGCCAAGTCTTGGTCTTCTTCGTAGACAGATAAACCACTATTTGCAGACCTGTCAACGATAAACAGAGCAGCTGTATCATCCACCTGACTTCCAACTTCCTCATCTTCATGCTTTGAGAATTCAACAGGAGAGTACAATGAACCAAATAAAGAATTTTCTAGCTTCTTCATTTCCCTCTGCTGCTCAATCTCCAGTTCATTGTTACCTTCATTCGGCTCTTTCTTCCTCTTTCTCCCTTTCCCATCTTGACTCTGTTTCAAAGTATCAGTAACTGAAGGCTTAACCTTATCTGACCAATTCTTGGGACCAGTATTTTGCGAAATTAAGCTAGCCATCTCAACTGGGGAATAACTGCAGAATGTAAACAAAAGAATGAATTTCTACCAAAAAACAAATAAAATAACAGAATGAACAACAATATAACAATCATGAGAAGTAGAAGAATCTACTTGCAACTCCAATCCAACAAGACAATATCCATTCTAACAACAGATGTAATGACAGCAAACAAAATGCTAGCTTTTTAACAAAACTTGCCAGGATGTAATCACCCTCTCCTTGGTAGTATTGAGTATAAACCATCTGAAATAATGAACCATCTTTTCCAGTAATCAACATCAAAACAGAAGATTTCAAGCTAGTGATTCAATAGACTACACAAAATTCTTCTTCCCTAGGTAAGGAAAAAGCTGAAGCTAAAGATTAACCAACATCAAAGATTCCATAAAGAAAAAAACCAAATTGAAGGAAAAAAGCTGAAGCTAAACATTAACCAACATCAATGACACCATAGTGAAACACCAAATTGAGAAATCTTCAGACAATATATACAATTTAGGAATTCCATATACTAATTTAAGAAATGAGGCATGCATTTGACAGAAACTTAGCCCAGATGTAATAATTGGCTGATTGAGGACTCTACATCCACTACCATAATTTCAAGAAGAATATGAAGATTTGGGCACCTGAACAAGTTCTTCTTGATTTTAAGATCAGCAAACTCCGTAGTGCGTCAAAAAATTGGAAAATGCTCACAAATCACAGCAGGGTCTGGTTTTTATCTTCAAATACTGCTTCAGAATCCCTCACACAATGACTTGAGAATAACAGCCGCGCCTCCAATCTTCCGAGCAAAACTTGGTAGAGTGATTTCCGGTTCAGTTTATTCAGAACGAAAATTCCAACGATGCCCGGATTTGATTTCCGGCGAAGCTCTCGATGGAAAATCGAAAGAGGGCTAGGGTTTAGTCAGGGTTTATATGAGAGAGGGAGCTGCAGGGAAGGAAGCCAATCTGCGGCGGAATACGGGTTTCGATGATTTATATTTGGTTTATATCAAATACCTCCTCGAGGTTACATGGAATACCTAAAGCATACAAAGTATTTTAGAAAATATCAAATGTACCCTTGGACCAATGAGTGAACTATCAAGTACATCCTATCATTGACTCATTCTTTTTCTTCTATTATCAAAAGCAATTGGATAGCCTGAAAATTTTGGATTCTTTGTTTTGTTTTGCTTGAAGATTGATTACACTAGTCGATATTTTATAGTATTTTACTTTTATCAAAAGCAGTAAGATAACCTGAAAATTTTGAGATTATTTCTTTCTCTTTCTTTGAAGATTATTTCTTTGTTTTGTTTCCGATGGTCGATGCAATTCTGAAAAACTACTATGGTACTCATTGCGTGACATTTATAGTTAGATTATAACACAAAAACTAAATGTAGAAAACCGATAAACTATAAAACAAATGCATTTTTTATTCTCTGCTAGTCACTGGTTAGCAGATTGAAAGATTTCCTTAATTTTGATATACTCTTGATGCTTTGTTTCAATATCTCATCGCTCGGTTAGCTCCAAAGTTAATGTAAACCAGTCGATGGAAATTCAGGTGGCAGGATTGTAGAATGTTTGGCCTGAGGAAGATATTATTACTGTAAAATCTAAAAACAGGATCCCATGATTTGAATTTGCCCCAATGGGTTTGAATTGAAAGATAAAAATGCTAAAATCAATTGTATTGAACATTTGAATTCATGATATCATAACACCTTGGTTCAAAATCGCTAACTCGACTGAACTTCATCGGCATCAGTTCACAAATCCTAAACGCTAAACCCTGAGATACATTTTCCATAAGCATAACTCAGGAATTCAACATCACAAATTGCAGATGCAGCTCCAGCAATTAGCAGGCAAAGGTCAGAGAGTCTTTTGATTCCAACCCGCGCGAAGAAGACAGCAAATTACCTATTCCAGTCTGGGCTGCCCCTAGTTCAATGTATTTGAGGTTGCAGTGGTCATTCTTCCAGTTTTTAGTACTTTTTCTTTTCCCTACCAGCAAAACTTTCATACAGGACCATTGTAACAGCCCCATTGACCACACATATTCTAGATTTTGAAGACTTTGTACCCATATTCAGAGCTTGTCATCCCTTCTTCCCAATCACCCAATTTGCGACCACCAAAGACCACCTGTTGAATACCCAAGTATCTACATACAAATTTGATGTCCAGCTCAGATCATACAGAGACAAGAATCAAGCCACAAAATGAAAGAGAAGGCCGTAACAAATGAATACACAATCTTACTTAGATCTAAAAGTTACTTACTCTGAACTTAGCACGGTCAAACAGTTGAGTAAAACATCGATTGAAAAGAAATCAGATGTACCTAAATCTACCCTGTTAATAAACAAAATTTGATTATCAGTTCAAAAAAGACAGGAAAAATAAGTCAACAATATTGAAGATGACAACCAAACCATACCAAAACCTGCCCCAGTTATCCTGGAACTCAACATCACCCATGTCATGAAATGAGGAAGGCATCACCTTAAAGCCCTTCTCTGCATCATACAGAGGATCATATTGCATGGAAGAATTTGCCAACTGCAATAGTTAAACAAAAATTAGAATCTTAATCTTAGTGTAATCACTTGATCGTACATGTCCTTAAATTCCATTGCCAGCTTTTTAATATGCTTTGAAAGCATGGAATAACATAGGCTTATAACTGACTAAATACAACATGCAAAATGAAATCTTTTCAAGATGACTAATCACAACGAATTTTAGAACTCGGCTACCATGAAGTTGCAGAGAAAGATGTACACAACCATCCTTATGAAGGGTAAACTATTGCAGTGGGAGAGAGATAACGAAATTAATGGCACTCAGGTTATGAAGCTCTTTGACATTCTTTTGTTTGATTCATTGACGAAAAAAACATATTAAAAAGTGATTCTTAACAATGTGATTCGAGCTACCCCAATTCCTACAGATCATCATCCCACTAACACGAGGTGAATCAGAACTTTAAAGAGACATCATATTTATGTAATTTGCCCTATTGCAAAACCTTTTGAGTATGACATACACAACAATAAAAAAAATTATACAATTATCATCTGACTAAAACAAGATGAGATTTGCAGAATACATATTATTCATGTCATTTTCAATTTGCATTTCATAAGATGTTCTTTTCATTAATATACTTAATGCCATGCAGGATTTTCAGATTGACAATAAAGTGCTTATAAATGTTATGGGACTGCTTTAGTACCCATCTCAATTGTGATTGCATATTGAGTAGAAGTGATTGAAATACAAAATTGAGCAGAAAATCGATAGTCACACAAAACCAGAACAAAGAAAAGATAATAGTCCTACTGAAGCCAAACATGGGATCCCCCAAACTACTAGGAGAAACTATTTTCAACACAATGAATGCATGAAACAATGATAAAATTTGATGCCAAATAGACAAAAGCTTTCGGTAAAAGCAGGAACTCAGATGGAAGAATAACACCAGAACCATAAACACTCAAGCAGATACACCCTACTTTAGCATCCACAGTAAATGCAGTATGTTCTTTATTTTATTTTTCGCAGTAAGTTCTTTGTTTCCAGTACCAAACAAAACTATTTTAGAGTAACTTAAGAATTACAATTTTTATGTTGTTGGAAGTCTACCATATCCTCACGACGTTAAAATATTGGAAACCCTGCCTCATTGCAGTGAAAAACAGATTCATTGCCCGTTCTAGAAAGTATAATCTCTAAATACCCATTACCAAGGAATAGATGACACTACAGCATGGGGAATATTGTGTCTTTACGCAAAAGAGTAGCTCATTGCTGAGAACAATTTCCACAGGGATAAGCCTAAATAACCTTGCAGTTAATCTATCAATGAACAAGCAAAGGAAAAGACATAATTATGCCCTGCAACCTTTTCTCCACAAAAACACATAGTTGGATTAGAAAAATGAAAAAAAGGAAGGGCAATTATCCTTCCTTGGTAAACCTTTGAAATCTTCTCATATTTCTAATTTAAACAGAAAATCAGAGCCAGTTATTTTCTGCAGGAAATAAGAACAAGTAGGAAAGCTTACACCTTGGACCCTTCTGAAAGTTTAGGCCCTAGGGTGTTATAGAATACAAAGATAAGAAATGTCACCTGCAAATTAGACGAGTTAAATCCACCTAATCGGCCCATGATATACCAGGACTGAATAACCTGCAAAAAGGGATAGTCTGATAGATAAGAGAGGTATCGTGATCATCATACATAGTATGCTAGCTACTGCATAATTATATAAAAATTTCTATTTAATCTTAGAGCTTTAACGAAAAAAATAAATTAAAGGATGTTACTTACACTACCAAGAAGGTCAACATCACGATCAGATGGTGATCCATAAAGTTCAAACCAAATATGAGAATCAAGGGGATTGAAACTGCCAATCACAACGTACAAATGAGCAAAATATACTGCTTACACCTATAAGAAGTATTTTAAAGGGCAGCTGACAAACAATTTTTTGCAAACACTGCACGTTGCTGGATAAGAAATTTATTGATTTCTTTGCATAGTATACATAAACCTTCCAAAAATCATACGCACAATTACATAACAAGCTGGGGTGCATCAACGATGATAAAAGATGCAGAAATGGAATACCCTTTCTTAAACTTAGCGCCCAACCTTCAGCTTTGAACTTGTCTATAAATAGATTATTAAAAGGAGAACAAGATTTTCTGTCAACAAGTTCATATGTACAGATATTATCATGCATTTTATAGGAAGAACTAGTAATTTTCCTTGCTTCTCAAACCATGGAAACATTCACAGAATAATACATTAAACCAAGACATTGTATTTATTTCTTGCAACTTGTTCTTTTCCGATTGCTCTTCTCCTTCTCAACCAAACTTTGACAAAGTTGAGAGCAATGGTGTCTTCCCATAGACATGAACCATTAGAAAATACTTTTCACAAGGAAAATGATTGCCTGTAAGATGGAGCCCTTTAGCTCCAGAGATAATCCAAAATGTTTTCAACAGTAGCACAACTTTTGAAATTTTATACAAAACGAACAATCTATGAATATAAAGATAAGCGAAAGAATCTAGTCATAGTTGTATATTCCTTTCTTACAGAACTAACTCAGAAGAACAACAGAAAATTTTTGCCCCTACAAGTCTAGCTTTACTCGTACATAAAGAACGAGAGCTGCAGACTTTACCCAGAGGACAACAAGCCATAAGATATTACTATAAATGCAAAGATAGAACACAAGAAACCATAGCACAGATTAATTCTGGCACAGAATTACCTAGAGGACAACAAGCCATAAGATATTACTATAAATGTAAAGATAGGACACAAGAAACCATTGCACGGATTAATTCTGGCACGAATCATTACTAAGAATCCAGACAGAAACTTAGCATTAGAAAAGAGATATGCCAATAATCCCAATTTTAACATCCTTGTACTCTGCTTTGCTGTCCTGGCTCTCATGAAACACGTTTAAAGTTCACCAAACCCAGCATTCTTCAAACTTTACCAATCAGACATATTAATCAATCGACTTGATTTAACACATTGAATTTCATGTCCACCAATACTTATCCAAAGTGATAAAATGATTGACAAAAGCCAAGATGACCAAAGCTAAATGATGCATACAGTTTAACCTTTAACAAGAACAAAAACCATTCCTACCATGCAATTAAACTAGACAAGTATTCCCCAGATATGGTTATGTCAAAGCTATGGGTGCAGGATTTCGAAGAGCAATCTGAGATATCGATAGAGATAAGGTTTCAATCATCCCAATAATCCATTACCAAAAATCAATCAACTACTCAAACATGTCAATTGGAGAATAGGCTAACAATAAAACAAGAGGTCCCCAAAGGGAAACCAAACGAGTTGACAATGAAGTATGGATGCTGGCAACGATAATGTGATACAAGTTACTTACTCTCTAAAGCTAACTTTGAAGGCTAGGACAGATCCACTTTTAGACTTCTGAAATTCTCGACCTTTCCTTCGAACCCTGTCCTCAACCTATCAGAAATTTCAGCAAGAACCTCATAACAATTTCATGGATGGAAAAATGTGGTCAAAGCACAGGGTCGGTAAAATCATTAACTTTAAACATTGCACCCTACCACGGGAACACAAATAATTCAGTTTACTATGCAAAATGTAAAGAAATTCAAGATAACAATTTTTTAGTTGAACACAGCATTTACAACCACAATGGACAGCTTACTCAAACATTGACAAATGGAGAAACTTACCCTTTGCCTCATAAGCTCTGGGTTACCAATACTATCTCCAAGAACTGCCCGAAGCTCTGGGTCATTTCGACAAGCATCTTCCAGCACTCTTCAATAAAATTTGATACACTTATTAGTTTCCTATCCCCTACCATAATCAAAATCAAGAGAAAAATGAACACACTTTGCCCAAGAAGGATAGTTGTGGAGACGGTCATATTCCCTCTTTCTCTTCTCCTCCCGAACTTTTAACAGCCTCCTTCCTCTTGCTGTTGTCCCAGACCCTTTTGCAGATTTCAGATTAGAAATTCCACTAACAACATCATCATTTGTGCCTTGAAAATTATCAAAATTCTCCCCATCAACTTTGACAGTTTTCTTTGAATTTGCTATTAATCCCGCCACCGTAATCCTTCGGTAATGTGACCTCGTACTACTCATCATAAGGCAGTCACACCCAAGCAGCATCCCTTTATTCATGAGTGACATTGCTGCTAAACTAGCTGCAGCTACGGGGCATGAAGACACTGGGGAGCTCCATGAGCTTTTTTTACTGTAATTAAAATGCCCATTCATACTAGGAAAATGTATCTCCATGGTGACTTTCCTTTTCTTGGAGTCTTATAAGTAACCTAAATCTGCAAGCACAAATCACTACAAGGTTAACCAACTGCATCAAATTTATCCAAAATTTACCTGTAAATAAAGTGAATAATCAACATCATTGAGCCGGCCTAAGAGAAATCTTAACACGTCAAATTGAAAACCGCCACCAAAACATTCCGAATCATAAAAGTAAATTCATAACGTCCATACTATTCATCAAACAGTAACCAAATTCCAATAAGGCCAATTAAAATAAATCAAAGAAAGATACATGCAAGAAGTCAGTTTCCACCATATTAACTCAAAGTGGGAATTCATTCAATAAAAATGCAAAACATGCAACAGATGTTCATAATTAAAGGCTCTTTTTATTAGATAAATTCGAGTAGCCCTTTTTATTTCCAAATCGATGAGCTAAATTAACAAGCAATGGCAATAGTAAGAACTTCATAACCAACTCTAACCAGACCACTATTGCAAAAAACAAAAACAACAAAATAAAACAAAACCATCGCCCCTGTTTTCTCTTCCCAGCCGAAATCACAACCCAGTTCCTATTTGATTACATTTTCTTTCTATTTAACATAGTAGTAATAAACATCACCATCATTACAAATTTAAAGGAGAATTTTAAATTCTTACCTGGCTTCCTTAGTTCAGCCAGTTCACTCCCTTCTCGCTTCTCTCCCTTTCTTCTTCTGTTTTACTTTTTGCTAGCTTTGGGTTATAGAGAAATTGAGAAGTCTTTCTTATTGGACTAGCTCAGAGTGGTGGTGCGGTCTGTGACTGGTGGTTGGAAGTTTGGGAGAGAATTGAGATTGGAGTTGGAAATGGAAGAACTGAGATGGAACGGAGTGACAGTAACGAGAGTGAAGGAAAGAAGCAAAGATAATTTTATTGCTGTCCAAAAATATGGATGAAACTTGGGGGTAGTTTGTAATATTCTTAACTATTAAATTTAGTGAATTGGCCCCGCCTTTTTCCTTATCTCTACACTATTGTCCAATGAAAATATATTGATCTACTTATGTCTAAACAACAAATTTCAAAAAAAAAAAATTTTTTTGGTAAAACAGTGAAATCTTGTATTAACTTCAAACCCAAGAAAGTGCTTCCTGAACTATTACAAATAATCATGCTATGTGTACAAATTCCTAACTTGCTCAAAAAATATCATGCTATCTGTACAAATCCCTAACTTGCTCAAAAAACTCTTATCATTGACTCTAATCTTCCTACACTAAAATTGAATTTTCCGTCTAATTTCACGTTTGATACCCTCTACTCTTTCCTTTGCCTTCACCTCCTTCTGACCAACTCTTCTACCATTCCTTTCCATCCAAATGCCATAAATTGTTGCATTGAGGCATGCAAACATAATTCTTTGTCTTAGCTTCCTTCCTTTCCATACTTGCAGCCATCTTTGAGCATTCAAACCCTGGATTACAGTTCTAATATACAGCCAGCTTCTTATTTCCTTTATTACCTCCTGTGCATAGTCACATCTGAAAAAAAAAATACTCCACACTATCCACTTCCTTCTCACATAATCCGCACATACTTTGGTTCACTTCCAATTGTAAATCCATCAGTCATTGTGCAGTTAGCAGCATGTTCTTCCTAGCCAGCTAGCTGATGAAACTATGCTTAGGAAGACTCGGGTTGCTCCATATGATCAGCAGGGGTGGCTGAAATTTCGGCTGAGGGACAAGCATGCCTCTTGGAGGAGACATACTCATTAATGGCAAGATGCTTCTTGTCTAGGGAGGTGCTTCTTCGTCCAGCTCAGCAAACATTGTCTCAGCAATCCACAAATTGTTCCCTTTGCCTTAATTTTTCAGCAATTTTGCAATCAAACCCCAACCTAACAAAAACACGAAAACTAGTTAAGTAGAATGCACTAATAATAGAAAATAACCCCCAATTTCTTACTAAATTCAGAGTTAATTGTGATGCTTTTATGTAACAAATAAACCATTATCAACTCCCCCAAACTGGAAGAATTGCTTGTCCTCAAGCAAAACAACTAAACTCTTGTTGGCACTTACAGAATTGTACATAAGAAATAGGGGAAAATAACATTGTCAAAATAACGGACTTACTCCCCTGAGTGAGGATTCCCACTCAGGCAGGTGACACTGAACAAAGCAACAACCTTAAACACAAACTAGATAGGTGCTGTCAACCTTTTGTCTCAGATTCAAGTGAGGAAAACATACACTTAAGGATACCAAATCTTTCTGCAATTTAGATTCAAACAACCAACCTTCACATGGAATTAGAATATATATGCCACAAGTGTTAGTTCATGCCACACCTACCAATCCATTCTAAGTTAATCGGTTAAGCTTTTGGTGGTCATTCTTGTGATATAGTCATGCCCAAGTTACTTGACTCGATTTACCTACTGAGGCTTCAATCATGGACTTCCTGCACAGCCTTTCTGCTTTTTTTTTTTTTTTCAAATGTAGGAATGTGGATGGACCAACCTAACAAGGGTGTTATTCAACCTTATCTCTCCATTGCCTTATACCTCAACCCTTATTACTCCAATAGTTTGGAACTTTTCGTGGTGGTTCCTTGCTGTTACCCCTAAGGTTTCGGTTGATCCATTCCCTAAAAAATTATTATTATTATTATTATTATTATTTTCAAAACGAGCAGGCTGTGAATGGATACCATAAGGGAAGTCTTAGATTTACAGCATCTCTCATCTAATTGTAACTCAGAACTAGACACAGCTCACAACAATGGATTAGTCATGCCAAATTTTTAAACTTTACGTTCTAGGCAGTCACTTCCACGAGTAGCATTGTTCATGTGTGTGAGTGAGTGTCAGCCATTCTTTCCTTCATGCATCAGACTCAGTATCAAAAGTGTTTTAGCAAAAAATTTTTTTTCAAAACCATTATCATCCTAGACTGTTGACAGCTCCTTAGAAAAATTTTTTATTTTTTTAGAGATATTTTACAGACTCGATCTAAACATGAACCTAAGGGACCTAAATGACACTTGACCTGACCACAAACTACTCTACTACTCCCTCAAACTTATTCTAAGTATTGCCCTCAATACTTAACAAAATAAACCCGACAACACACATTAAACAGAAAATAAAGAAAAACACAGAACTAACAAAAAATTTATCATTTTATCAGAAAAAAAAATAAATTGCTGATTGAGGGCATTAGAACAACACTTCCCTGAGTGTTCATTGAGGCATGCCATGGAGTGGATGGACTGGTGGATCATGCGGCTTTGGGCAATTTTCTGGGCATGCAATGCACTTGTGCATTTCCTGTAGGAATTTCTCCATCCTCATTTGGCATTGGTGGACATAATCCAAGATGAACATGGTCTGCTTGTTGAAATCCCTCTGCCTCAATTGTCCAGCTGGAGTGGGAGTGGATGTTGCTTGTCCTGAGGATGAGGCACCTGGGGGTTTCTGGTCCAACTTATGCATCCTCAATGGTTCCTGCAAGCTGCTCTCTGCGTTTGTGTGTAGGAAGGTCACCCTTGCCCTCTAGCACAGCATGGTGATCATAACTGGAAAATACCAGCTCTTCACCTTTGGATCAGTGATGCATCTGGTGAGTTGATCTTTGATGACTGAGGCTGCATCAAATGGTGTATTCGTGACAATAGCATACAGGAGCAGAGCCATCTCATAGGTGACCTTTGCGGTGTAGGATGTTGGCATTAGATTGCAGTAGACGAAATGGTGCCACAAATTTTGATAAGGCGTCTGCAACGCGTTTGCTGGAAATCCCAGAGGGTTTCCTTGATCGTCCATCTCCCAGCTCGTGCCTTCTTTTGCCAATCTAGATAGAATGGCGTTTTCCAGTGGTTGATTTGGATGCAGGGCAGCAAGGGTTTCCTTGTAATCAGTGCTGATTCTTGGTAACTTCCAGATGGCCCTGATAGCTTCCGTGCTGCAATTGACGCTGATGCCTCTGACAAATACTCTGTCTCTGGGGGCAGTGTGAAAGTTACCATAGAATTCTTGCACAATCTGGAGCCGGGGCCGGACAAGGGGCCTTGAAAACACCTCCCACCCGTAGCGTTTGATGTAGGCAAACGCTTCACCATCTTCACCTATTTCCCTTTTTGTAATGAATTTTCGCTTGATGTGTTTTAGAAAGAAGTCCCAAGCTTTCTTTCTTGCGAATAGCCTGGGCTCCCGCTGGTCGGTGATGGCATTGAGGGCTTGTTCTTGCAAACCCCTTGGTGGTTGTGGAGACGGTGGTGGAGTGGGTTCTCTGGCAGGGATAGTGGTGGAGTGGGCATTCTTTGCCTTTCAGGAGAGGACGAGGATGAGGAGGAGGATATCATTCTTCTTGTGTTGAAGGCATTTTTGCGGGCAGCAACCTTTCTCCTTGCCGGCGGCATCTTGTACAAACCCTAGGAATTGAATTGGCAAATTGAAAGAGGGGTTTTTTTTATTGAATCTGATTTTTGCCTTAGTTGCCTGAAAACTCAGAGAAATGGTCAGTATGTTCACACAGGGAAGTGGTAATTGAAGAGGTGGTTCTGGAATAGGGAGAAGATAAAGAAGACGAAGCAGTGGAGGAGTTATGAAGTAATGCACAGCAGTTAAAGTTTTTGGGAAGTCGTGGCTGACTCAAGTGACTCAAAAAGGCGGACGCGGTTAAAATTGAAATTTGAAAATTTCTAGAAAAAATTCCCCCCCAAACTTAAACCATAATTACAGCTCAAAAAGGTGAGTTTTGCAGAAAGTGTTGGACAGTTGTTCTTACTCAGGCGAGTGGATTGTCCCACTTATGTGAGTGACGCCAGGGTTAGAAGACTTACAGAATTGCTTTCCCGTAGGTTCACTCGGCTGAGTGACCTTCTTCACTCCTAGGAGTGAGTTTACCTGAGACCTTTTATGTTACACTTTCTGAAATCTGTTGGAGTGGCAAATACCTTGTCCATTCGTGCAAAATTAGAATAGCACATTGTTAGCCACACAAAAGCAAACGTATGGGTTACCTCCCATAAAGCGCATTGGTTTTAAGTCTCATGCCAGACTTCAAAAGAGTTTTCAGTTAAGTTCTTTTAGGACCGGAACATGATAGTTCTGTCCTTTACTCCCTTCAGTTCATCCAGGGTATGGTTTAAGCCTCTGACCATTAACCAAAAAGGTGTTGCCATTCTGTGGATTCATGATCTCTACTGCTCCTTGAGTTAGGACCTTGTTGATTCTGTAGGGACCGATCCATCTTGACTTCAACTTCCCTGGAAAGAATTTCAGTCTAGAGTTGAACAGCAGGACTTCTTGTCCTTCTTGCAGATGCTTCTTGACAATGTGCTGATCATGGTAGGCCTTAGTTTTTTCCTTATAAAGTCTGGAAAATTCATATGCTTTTAGTCTGAATTCTTCCAGCTCGTTCAATTGCATCAATCTAAGGTACTTGCTTCTTCTTGGATCAAGATTCAGTTCCTTGATAGCCCAATAGGCTTTATGTTCCAACTCCACTGGTAAGTGGCATGCTTTCCCATAGACCAGTTTGAATGGGGACATACCAATGAGAGTCTTGTATGCTGTTTTGTATGCCCATAGTGCATCCAACTTTGAAGACCAATTCTTTCTAGTAGAGTTGACAACCTTTTTCAGGATTCTTTTCACTTTCCTGTTTGACACCTCTGTTAGCCCGTTTGATTGTGGATGGTATGGTGTTGATACTCTGTGCCTGATTCCATATTTCCTTACCATGGCTGCAAATGACTTGTTACAAAAGTGTGATCCTTCATCACTGAGTATCATCCGGGGCGTACCAAACCTGGCAAAAATGTTTTTTCTTAGAAATCTGAGAACAGTCTTAGCATCATTGTTTCTTGCAGCTACGGCTTCTATCCATCTTGAAACATAATCCACTGCCAGTAGGATGTAGGAGT